GTGTACGCATTGAGCATAGATCACTGTACAAAGCTTCGTATCTCCGTTGTCCTTTCTTTGATTTTCACAAACGATAGCTTGTTGGAAAGGTAAGGAAAAGACCTTTCCAGCGGTGTGTCACTTGTGGCAGCGCGATGCGAAATACCCGAGCGGCAAAGACCGGAACGCGGTTGAATACTTCTAAACTTTAGAATTTTGAAATTTTCGAGTAGAGCTCGCGTGCGCATGGGGTTTCCCCATGACTCATACCAGTGCAGCCCATGCGCGATGGGTACCAAGATGACCGCTTGAGCTTCAGCAGCACGGAGAACTTTGAATCGTTGTTTTGTGTTGAGTAAAAGTCATGAACCGAAGGAAATTGTCACTGTGGGTGGTGTATCTCGTTCAGGCGCGATAGAGCTGCACTCAAGGGACTTGGAGGCGCTTCTATTGCTTCTGCTTAGTGTCTAGTCTTTATCATTGGATGGAGGAGATCACAAGCTTTTCAGGGAGCTCCAGATCATGAAATTCCATTGCTGGTGAGTGAATTATGAAATTTTGAAGTCGACCATCCGTGGTTGCGTGCTGCGCGGTGCGAGTGCCTGGGAAATCAGAAAACCCAGCTGGGCTTCAAAGGGTTAAAGGTGGTGATCCCAGCATAGCAAAGAATCACAGACCCGTGTCTCTAATGTCGATAGTTTCAAAGCTTTTCGAACGAGTCATCCATGATCAGCTACTCAGTACTTGTGCCGACATGATCTATTTCTTCAACTCAGTTCGGCTATCAATCACATCATTCCACATGTGATGCCCTTGTATTAGCCGTTGAGGGCATATGCCAAGCCCAGACAAAAAAGTACTTCACGGGGATTGCTTTCGTAGATATGTCAAAAGCATTTGATAAGGTGAAAAACCCTTATTCAGGACCTATTCGAGGTCGGAATTGGTGGAACGGTGCTGCAATGGCTTGCAGACTACCTCTCAGATCGGACACAGTATGTCAAAGTCGGTCAGGTACAGAGCTCACCATACACCAGCTTCTCCGGAGTACCACAGGAGTCAGTTCTCGGGCCCCTGTTGTTTGTTCTCTACATCCGTGACATTGCGAAAGAGCTGTCCCCTTACAACGTTGCGACCCTGCAATTTGCGGACGATATCTCAATTAGATCCAGCAGCATGAGCAAGGATGAAGTGTCCCAAAATCTCTCAAGTGCTGTCCAGCACCTCGCCGATTGGCTTAGGAACCGCGGCCTCATCTTGAATGAAACGAAGACACAGATCATGTCGATGTCGCCAGTACGATCTCAAACATTTGACTTGCAAGTGCAATGTAATGGACTGCCTCTACCAACTGTTCGCTCTGCGAAATATTTAGGTCTCCACTTTGATGCGGACATGAGCTGGAACACCATGGTCGACCACGTCGCACGGGACGTCGCGTCGAAAGTTGGCGTGCTCAGACGATACGCTACATTCCTGCCTTTTCAATGTCGCATAGCCTATATTCGTTCTTTCATTTTATCACACTTTATGTATGCCGCTTCTGCTTACTTACCGTTTCTCACGGCGTATCAAAGTCGACGACTTAATGGGCTCTTCAAGCGTGCTGTACGCACAGTCTGTCGGGTACCTCCCGAGACACCCACAACCAATATTCTTACACGCATGAACATCCAAACATTGACCACATACGCCAACATGCACCTTCTGGTTTTTATCTGGCGTTGTCTCCATGACTCCTCTAACATCAGCATGTTGTTTGCTCGTCAGGCGAAATTACTGGTCAGTCGGCGACACGCATTTTTCACAAAAAATTGCGTTTCACCTGCTGGGAGAGTATGCGTGTACTCGAGTCTCATCCTGAGCACGTTTTTTTCTTCTTTTTTTAAGCTCAAGTATAGCTGTATTTTTCATTGCAAAGCCGTCCTCGATTGTTGTGTTCGTTGTTCAAACGAAGTGGACATTCAATCATGAAGGCAGAGGACATAGGAGCCTGATTGGAGTTTCTCGTGGCATAGGACGGCCACACAGAGACACTTTGGGATTTTCTGAACATAAAATACCGTTCACACGATGCTGAGATCAATTTGTGCGATATCAAATTGTTTGTGATCTACCACATCGAGCAGAACGGGATCCAAACACAAGCTTACCGACGGTTAGGCTGCCGACCTGACTGGACAAATGATCCTGGCTTCACCGGACGCCAGAAGTCGGACACCATGTCCTTTGCCGCGACGTTCATCTCCAAAAAGAACTCCATCTTCGTCGTGAAAAGGCTTGAAATACCGGCTCAATATTCAACCGAGATTCGCGGTCTCACCCTTTCTCGGATCGAATCATTTTTTGTTGTAGCAGTTGCAGGGCAGATCCCCGCCACTACGTCAACAGAAGATGGCTCCAAAGCATGCCTGGAACAAGCCATATCGAGGTTGCAAGCCACCCCTCTCAGCACTTTTTTTGAAGAAATTCGAAATTTCAATGGTGGAAGATATACTATGAAGAGAATTTAAAAAAGTATGTTTCGCGGAGCGATCGCTCAACCTATGTCATTCAAACTTTGCAGGATGGTTCAGACGTACATGCTAGGCATGGAACCACAGAAGATGATATCGTAGCTGACACACAGAGTCACACACACAGCAGATTTGTGTGCACAGATACTAAATTAGTGGACATCGTCATCTTCTTCCCGCTGATCTCAAATGTACTATGACGTGCTATTTCGCCTGACGAACTTTTTCAGCCGCAGTAATTCCTCTCAACCTCGCGTGGGCACAGCAATTTACTGATTGTCCCAGCCAGCCCAGCTGCATATCTTGCCAAACGTGTTACCTATGCTGGGACCATCTTATGGAACCAGCTCCCCGCTGCGATCAGGCCAGAAAGAAAACGCAATCGCTTTAAGTCAATGGCTCTTGCCTTTTTGCTTACCAGATAAATAAGCCTTTTTACAAATGCTGTATGCACTGCCCTTTACGTTATTTTCTCCCTATGCAAGTCCAACTCCTGTTTTGAGTTGTTTTTCTTCTCTCTTTTTCTTTCCCTACTAGTTGCTGTTACACTCACTGATCTTTATGCACAGATATACAGCATTCCCTCACTAGTGGGACCATTGTTATTAGGCTAGGGCCTGTTTTGGACTTCCCACTCTAAATAGAGAATACAAACAAACAAACAAACAAACAAGGGGATCAAGACGAAAAACCAGCTGCAGGTGATCCGAGGCACCTAGCGGGCATTTGGTGCCGATATCCAGGATGTAATAGATTGCATAAGTAGCTTGGAAATAACACAGCCTCTCAACTGAGAAGTGTCCTATCCTGTATCATGTTATTCTTTCACCCATTCATGGCATAGTCCTTCCCCTGCCTGTCGCCATGTATAGACGGTACGTGACCTCTCACTGCCCCCGTGCTACGCACTATACCATGCTCTGCTGGGCATGGCCTCCCTGACTCTTCACTATATCTACACTCATCTGTCTGTAAAATAAACCACTTCCTTATGAGTTATGTCAGTGCATGACACAACATGGTGTCAGAAGTTAGTCAACCAGGTCTACACTTCGAGTAGAAATGGCCAAGTTCGCGCCGCCTGCAGACTTTGATTTCTCCATTCCAGATGCCTGGCCGGCTTGGAAACGCCGGTTTGCGAGATATCACCTCGCCTCAGAGCTCAACGCGAAAGACGAGAAAGTGCAAATCTCTACGTTGCTCTACTCGCTGGGCCCAGAGGCCGAAACTGTCTTCGATCAACTGGTATTCGACACCGTTGGTGACGAGGACAAGTATGACAAGGTCATGACGAAGCTGGACTCTTTTTTTACGCCAGCATTGAACGTGTTTCACCAGAGGACCATTTTCGAACAGTGCGTCCTTCTTCCAGGAGAGTCCGTGGAAGAATTTGTTCGGAAACTTCACGCAGCAGCGAAGTTCTGTGACTTTGGTGACCAGAAGGACAACAGAATTCGAGATCGCCTCGTGGCTCACATTCTGGACCGTCAAGTCGCCAAGGAGCTGCAGCTGATTGAGCCCGCAAAACTCACCCTCACGGACGCAGTTCTCAGGGCCAGGTAGGCCAAGAAAATTTCCAGAGACGTTGCAGCGCAAGCCGCGAGGCCGCAGGTCAATGCTGCATCCCTCTTTGGAGGAAAGCAGCAAGATGCAAGGAGTCGCCGCCAGCGCAGCGGCGTTCCATCGAAGCCTGCACCAACGCCGTCCACGCAGAGGAAGAGCGGCACTGCAGCTTCAACATGTCCGTGGTGTGGCCACGCTGGTTCGCACAAGAGCAACCGTTCTGCGTGTCCTGCGTTTGGTCACAAGTGTAATTCATGCGGCAAGCAGGGCCACTTCGCCGCCGTCTGTCTTTCCACTCCAGCAACCACGGGTGGGGCCAGAGCTGTCGAAAATGAATCTCTCGCGTCCCCGTCGCCATTCATGGGTGGTGTTGCAGAGCTGTCATCCAACGCCATTCCTTCCCAGTCCACCGACGCCTGGTCAATAAGTCTGCCTGTGTGCTCGACAAATTTGATATTCAAGATCGAGACAGGTGCAGATGTATCATGTGTCACGCACTCCATGTATCAGAATCTCGTACAACGCCCTGTACTCACACCATCCACTACCAAACTCCTTGGTCTATCTGGTGCACCTCTATCCATCAAGGGTCAGTTCACTGCAGACACCATGCACAAGAGTGAACTGTTCTCTATGGAGATCGTAGTTATCGATGGTCCTGGATCTACCAACCTGTTGAGTCGCTGAGACTGCCTCCGACTTCGCCTGATCAAGCGTTTAGATGCAGCAGAATCGTGTACCAGCAAGCCAGCACAGCCCATCGGTGGTATAGTTGGGCCCCCAGCTGATATCAAGCTCATGGACGACGCCATGCTGTACCACTGTGGTGTTGCCCGCCGTGTGCCTCTGCCTCTACAGGACAAGGTCACAGAAGAGCTCGCACGTATGGAGGAAATGGGCATCATCGTCCGGGAAACGGGTCCCTCTGACTAGTGCTCTCCTATGGTGCCGGTTCGTAAACCTAATGGTCGCGTACGGATCTGCGTAGACCTAAAGAAGCTGAACGGCAACGTGAAGCGCGAGCACTTCCCTCTTCCGACAGTTGAGGACACACTGGCTAGGCTCGCCGGATCTACTGTCTTTTCCACGCTTGTTGCCAACAGCGGCTTCTGGCAAGTGCCTCTCACGGAGTCTGCATCCAAGCTGACCACGCTCCTCACGCCTGTGGGTCGTTTCCGATTCCTCCGGATGCCATTCGGTATAACCTCTGCACCGGAAATCTTCCAGCGACGCCTGCAGGATTTCCTGTCCTACGTCAAAGGTTCTGAGGTATTCATGGACGACGTTCTGGTCCACGCCGCTAACGAAGCTGAACACGACCACCGGCTGGACACAACGCGCCAGGTCCTTGCCGACGCAGGCATCACTCTAAACCCCGACAAATGCCACCTCAAGCAGTCGTCAGTCAAGTACCTGGGACACATCGTCAGCGGGTCCGGTGTGAAACCCGACCCCAGCAAAGTCTCCGCCATTGACGACCTCAAGGAGCCTACGAATATTCCCGAGCTCCGCCGTGCCTTAGGTCTGTTCACATACGTCGCCAGATTCATCCCAGAATTGGCTACGATCTCAGTGCCCCTCCGTCAGCTCCTGCACACCGACACTGATTGGTTCTGGGACTCCCCGCAGCAGGACGCGTTCTGTCGGCTGAAAGAGCTCGTCGTTTCAGCCCCGTGCTTAGTGCACTATGACCCCAAGCGTCCCATCATGGTCAGTGCCGATGCCAGCAGCTATGGCATTGGTGGTGTTCTGCTCCAGAAGCACGATGGCGACTGGCGCCCAGTGGCCTACGCCTCCCGTTCCCTGACCAAGACGGAACAAGGCTACGCGCAGATCGAAAAGGAATGCCTCGCAGCGGTGTGGACGTGCGAGAGGTTAGACCAGTACCTCTTCGGCGCTCCCAGGTTCATCGTGCAGACGGACCACAAGCCGCTAGTGCCACTGATCAACACCAGAGACCTGGACAAGGTTCCCATCCGATGCCAACGAATGCTGCTACGCTTCCTCCGGTACGAAGTCCATGCCATACACGTTCCCGGCAAGGATCTGGTGGTGGCTGACACGCTTTCACGAGCGCCAGCATCGGCATCAGTTGACAACGTTCTGCAAGACGACATCGGCATGGTTTTATCAACCACTGCCGAATATCTCATGAGTCCATCCGTTCTCGCCGACCTAGCCAAGGCTACGTCTGAAAATCCCGTGTTATCCAGTGTGATGCACTACGTCATCCATGGCTGGCCTGCTACCGTCCCTGACGACATCAAGCCGTTCCATCGTGAGCGAGGCCAGTTGTCTCACATGCAAGGTGTCTTGTGCCACGGCTTTCGCCTGGTTGTTCCGTCCGTGCTACAGCCTAAGATCCTCCAGACGCTGCACGATGGTCACCAAGGTGTCACGAAGAGGAAAGCCCGTGCCCGCTTCTCGTCGTGGTGGCCAGGTATCTCTGCCGACATCGAGGCATATGTCGCCAAGTGCACTACCTGTATCAAGCAGCGTCATCAGTCTCCAGAGCGTCTTCAGACAACTCCGTTCCCCGAGCGCCCGTGGCAGCGTATCGCATCGGATCTCTGTGATGTCGACGGCCGCCAGTACCTGATTACCGTCGACTATTTCTCCCGTTACATTGATGTCGCTTGTCTCTCAGCGACTACGTCACGGGCCGTCATTACTCATCTGAAGAGCATATTTGCTGTCCACGGCTATCCGGACATCTTCGTCAGCGATAACGGGCCACAGTTCGCTTCCGACGCCTTTGCACGGTTGATGTCGTCGTGCAACATCATGCATCGGACCAGCAGCCCGAAGCATCCTCAAAGCAACGGTGAAGCAGAAAGCGCCGTGCAGACTGCCAAACGACTCATCCGTGCGCCAGGTGATCTACAGCAGTCCCTCTTAGCCTATCGCTCCACACCCCTGGCCAACGGCTATTCGCCCGCCGAACTCTTGTACGGCCACAGGCTCCACACCAATCTTCCGTGCTCACCTGATCTCCTGCAACCCTCCTGGCCAGACATCTCCACTCTCCGGGCCAAGAAGCAGGAGGCTAAGCATCGGCAAGAAGATCACTTCGATCAACGTTTCGCAGCCAAGTCGCTCTCCCCTCTGCCACTGGGAGCGAAAGTGTGGGTCGACGACAAGCGCGAGGGTACAGTGGTTGAGCAACTCACCGATCGCTCCTACAACATCGCCACCTCATCCGGTCTTCTGCGCCGAAACTGTCGTGCAGTGAAGTTGCTCCAGCCAGTGACTCCTCCCGGACCGGTGACAGCAGTACCACCGGCCGCGCTAGTCCCGCAACAACAGCCTGTGCCTATGGCACAGCCAACTCTGCGTGCTCGCAACAACATCCAGCCACCGCAGAGATTGATCGCTACCATGTAACTCTCTCTGGCTTCATTGCTATTGCTCTCCCGCACATTGCATAGTTCTGTTCCATGTGCCCGGCTATGTACAACCCGTACATGTATCTGTCTTGCCTTTGCTCCATAACAGTTTTTTTCCCAGCTGTTGTGTTTTTGCTCTCTTCATTTTTTTTCAAAAAGGGGGAGATGTCCTATCCTGTATCATCTTATTCTTTCACCCATTCACGGCATAGTCCTTCCCCTGTCTGTCGCCATGTATAGACGGTATATATGCCCCCGTGCTACGCACTATACCATGCTCTGCTGGGCATGGCCTCCCTGACTCTTCACTATATCTACACTTATCTGTCTGTAAAATAGACCACTTCCTTATGTCAGTACATGACACAACAAGAAGAGCCTTGTTTTATAGCACAAGGTGATAGAGAGAACACCAATGAGAATGTGAGAAGAACCGATGTGTCAAGTAGGAAGGAAGTGTGAATACTGTCTGCATGAGAGAGGGGTATGAAATGCATGCAATAAATTGATAGGTAAAGGTGAGAACTATCACACTACTCCCCTCCCATTCAATTTAGTTCTGAAGATACTGCCTCAACGGCAAGATTGGTGATCCAGATTCATCCATCAAGTAAGTTGCAGGCTCCCAGGTCGGCTCATCGTAACCCATTTTACCAAGTACTGCTGCTTTCCGCGGTGAATTCGATGAGAAACCACTTCTTCGACAATGAAACGCTCATTGCCATCAAGGTCAATTACAGGTGGTGGAGCTGGTGACTGAGGATTGAGCTCATCAGTAACGAACAATTTCAGTGCAGCTGTGTTGAACACCGGATGGACACGACATGTTCTTGGGAGATCCAACCGCGCAGTCAAGCCAGATGCCTTCTTGACTGTAAATGGACCGAACCAGCGTGGTCCCAGTTTGGCGCAAGGCTGATCTCGTGATACTGACGTGGTTATATAGTCCCTGTGGACCATCACTTCACCCCCCACCTTGAATCTAGAGTTCCGTCTTGAGCGGTTGGCGTAGAACTCTTGGCTTCGGATTGCATCCTGGATTCTGTCCTTTGCTACTTGCAGTGCCGACTTTTGGCGATTGACCCAGGATTGCGCCTCATGGCAAGTTAAAACCTCCGCCTGCAGAAGGGCGTCTGCAGCAGATAACGGATGTTGGCCGTAGTTTAAATAGAATGGAGTATCACCTGTAGATCCTTGAACCATGTCGTTGTAAGCAAACTCGCATATCGGCAGAAGTTCCTCCCAATTAGTCTGCCGATGGATAACTGCTGAAGGTAAGATTTGACCTATTGTCCGATGCACTCGTTCCGTTGCACCATCAGTCCGCGGGTGATTGGCAGTTGAAAAGTCGAGAAAAAAGTCAAGGCGAACTCCCAGCTGCTTGAAGATACCACGGTAAAGCTCGGCAGTGAAACGAGGATCACGGTCGCTCACAATGGACTTACTGAGACCGTGTAGGCGATAGACATTGCGCACGTACAGATCAGCCACACCCTGTGCGTCTATAGAAATCTTAGTGGCAACGAAATGGGCTTGCTTAGTCAACCGATCGATGAAAGTCAGACTCGCATCATTACCCTGCGGTGTAGTTGGAAGGCCGGTAATAAGATCCATGCCAATGCATTCCCATGGCACTTGTGGTACTGGCAACGGCTGGAGACGATTCTCCCTTGGTTTGTCTCCCTTTGTACGCTGGCATGTTAGACATGCCTTCACATACCTTGCAATGAATCTTCCCATTCTGGGCCAATAGTACCTCCGAGCAAGTCTCGCATGTGTTCGGTCACGCCCTGAGTGTCCTGCTGACAGGCTGTCATGACAGAGGTTGAGCAATTTTCTCCGCAGTGGTCCCGCCGGAATGCAAAGCCTCCACTCAGGGTCATGCTTCAAGTAGAGCTGCTTCCTGGAGGCGTCCCAGTGGTAACGCTGCTGCAGCTGCTCGTCCCGATCATTCAATCCGGTGATAATAGTGCAGCAGAACTTATCGGCTGCATAGCCGCTCGCTAACAGATCTTGGAACTGTTGTTCTTACTGTACGGTTACCTCGACGCTGGCGATAGACCGGGACAATGCATCTGCGATGTTCTGCTTGCCGGGTCGGTGGACAATGCTGAAATTGAAGTCTGCCAGGAAGTCAATCCACCTAGCTTCCCGTTTAGACACATTGGTCTTGGTGCCTAGATATTTACACCTTGGTTGTCTGTGATAACTTCAAACCGTTCAAATAGATATAGCTTCCATACTCTCAAAGCATGGAAAACAGCTAGCGTTTCTCTTTCCATTGCTGTGCAGTTTACTTTTTCTGGGCGTAGTCGTCTGCTGGTGTAGGCGACTGGTAGCCAATCACCATCTTCCTGTTGAAGTAAGACACCACCAATGACTGTATCACTAGCATCCGTCACCACATGGACCGGGTTGTGCAACATCAGCCAAACGCAGAACTGATGCAGATACAAGTGCTTGCTTCAGCATGTCAAAAGCATTCTGCTGTGCTGAACACCATACAAAACGGGAATGCTTTCCAGTAAGTGTTTCCAAAGGCCGTGCAATTGATGCATATTCCTTAATGAATTGCCGGAAATAATTGCCGAAACCCAGGAATCGACGAATTTCAGGAACAGACTGTGGTGGCGACCACTCGTCCACAGCTTGCAGCTTCTCGGGATCAGGACCGATTGTCTCTCCAGAGATGATGTGTCTAAGGAACTTCATGGACGGAGCTGCAAATTTGCACTTGGCACGCTTGCAATACAGTTGAGCTTCTTCCAGTGCGGACAGGACACTGTCGAGATGCTTTAGGTGATCGGTCCACGTGCTGCTGAACACGATAAGTCGTCCAGGAAGACTACGGCGCACTTCCGTAGGAATAAACGGAGGACATCGTTCATCAGGCCCATGAATGTTGTTGTGAAATGAGGTGTTGTTTTCCTGTGTGATGGCATTCCCCAAACTGTCTCGTCTAGTCGCGTGCATGTGTGATATGAGCATGCGCGATTTTGTAGTCGAGAGTCCTTTTGTCAGTCTTCTTGTTCGTCTCTGTCAGAGTAGTCTACTTTTCCGTTATGTCAATATAAAATAATGTAACAAACCAGTCTTGTCCTTTGTGTCCTGCGTCCCGGGGAACGGAATGGCTGAGATTCCGTTACAACGTGGTGCCGAAACCCGGGACGCAGAGGATGAGTTAGTTTGTAATGAGTCTGTTCGTCGTCGTCAACAACGAAGTAACTGTTACTTTGAAGTAAACAGAGCGTGGGAGCGGAGGAGGTGAAGAGCTGGTGGGAGCGGAAGACGACGCGGAGAGGAGGCAGAGAAGGTGATGGACAAGAACAGTCACTGTGGACTGGAGCCTGAGACGGCAGGAACCGCGACGGAGCGTGTGGCCGTGGCTCGCCAGAGGACAGTGGACGAGTCTGGCGTCACCGACTGTGTGTCGTCCTTGTTGTTCGTCTTGTTGTCTTGCTCGCTGTGTTGTTCTCTCTCTGTTCAGTTCGTTGCTTGTTGCTGTGTTGTTTCAGTTTGGTTGTTGTCAGTCTGTTGCTCTTGTATTCGTTCTGTTGTTCTCCATTGTTTTTGTTGTAGATTTATTTGGTGCGGCTGTGCGCATGTCATTATTTTGTTGGAGCTTCGGCTCCCGTGTTTCGGTTGGCCTTGTGTGGCGTAGCCTGGTTGTAGAGCGTCGGCGCTAGGTTTTTGTTTGGCCTTTGTTTCGTGGCCCGGATATTATTTTAGAGCGTCGGCTCCAGGTTGATGGTTGGTTTTCGTTTTTCTGTTCTGCTGTGGTTCCTTTTGCTGTTGTGCATGTGGAACGTGGTGTCGGTTTATTATTTTGTGGAATGTCATCAAGGGGGCAGGTGTTGTAAAATGATGTGTTGTTTTCCTGTGTGATGGCATTCCCCAAACTGTCTCGTCTAGTCGCGTGCATGTGTGATATGAGCATGCGCGATTTTGTAGTCGCGAGTCCTTTTGTTAGTCTTCTTGTTCGTCTCTGTCAGAGTAGTCTACTTTTTCCGTTATGTCAATATAAATAATGTAACAAACCAGTCTTGTCCTTTGTGTCCTGCGTCCCGGGGAACGGAATGGCTGAGATTCCGTTACAATGTTGCTGGTGCATTTGTCAAGCCGAACCCCATAACACGGAACTGGTACTGGCCGAACGGGGTGTTGATTGCGGTCTTTGGTATATCTTGTTCTCTAACTCTGACTTGGTGATAGCCCTACAGGTCCAGCTTTGAGAAATACTTTGCTCCACCTTCACGGTCATGTTGTTCAGAGGTCTCCAGTCGCACACCAGCCTCAGCGAACCGTCAGCCTTCTTAACAAAGAAGACGAGTGCGCCATACGGTGATCTGCTGGGTTCGATGAAGCCGTGCCTGAGCAGTTTCTCGAGCTGTTTCTGCAGTTCTTCGAGTTCTGGCTGTGAGAGACGGTACGGAGGTCGGGAGGGTGGCTTGGCATCAGGATCCACATCAATTTCGTGATCGGTTCTCCGACTCGGCGGCAGGTCCATTGGTAGTTCCTGCGGAAAACAGCTGCCGTGCTTCTTGAGAATCTGCTCGAGTTCGGCACACTGCTCGTTGTCCACCATTATTTTCATTTCCTTATTGTCACCTTCGCCGCCGTCCCTTTCAATTTTCACAATTACACATTCCGCTCTCTTCTTCAGGGCCTTCCGAGCCTGTTTGATACTCATGAACTTCGCGGGGTAGGCTTCATCCGTCTCCGCTGAGGGGGGTTTGTCGGGTTTGTCAGACACGCACGTCGCTGTCACATCACGACCTCTCTCCCGATCGGACAGCGTGACACGGTTATTGGCGAAGTCCACTTGCGGCTTAGTACGAGACAGCCACGGCCTGCCCAGTACTACGTCGTATCCCTCCAAGGGTATAACTGTCAGCTGCTCCCGTCATTCGGCGTGGTCTCCGATTTCCAATCGAAGCCGTGGCGTCACAGTCTCACTGAGCAGCTGTCTTCGACCATCAGCCATGGTCAGGGAGATTT